TATTAGATGATTTGGTACCCAGATGTCGTCAATTTGGCTTTGCGTTTGTTGTCTGCTCCAAGTTGGTGTTATGATATTAAAATATTCAAGAGTACTTGTGAGTCTATTAGTTTGCATTGTTTGGAAAATGGGGATGCTTTGGTTATGTTTGTTGTGATCATGGTTAAAGTCTTCGAGGACTATTGTGTGAAAGTTCTTTTTGTTGGCTTGTTCTATTTACAGCATGACTGTTTGTTGCGTTAGTAGATTTAGTGCTTTGTTATTTGATAGCAGATATACAGTGATGATATGGGTCTTGTTTCAGTTTGGAAAGAAGAAGTCAATTGCAATTGCTGTACCAGGGTGTGTAGCAATATTGTGTATATATGGTCTGAGTTGTTTGGTAATAGCTATTGCTGTGCCAATGCTTGCCTCTTGTATCTTAGCTGTTGTGGTATCACAGTTTGCAGTATATATATAGTAGTAGGGATTGCTTGTTTGTAGACTGTTGTATGTAGATTCTGCTAGTTTTGTTTCTGTCATGTTTATTATGTGGTATTGTTGTGTATTGCAAAATTCAAGCCATAGTTGAGTTTTTAGTTTATTATTTAAGCCTTGTACATTGTGTGTTGCTATTAAAATTTTATCATAGATAGGTGGGCCAGTGTTTTGGTTATGTGTAGTAGTATCATTGTCTGTTGTTGTATGGTTTGTGATTGTGTTGGACTGTGATGTTGATGGTTCAGGTTGTGTTTCTATATTGTTGTATTGTATTATTATTATTATTAAGAAAATATTCTCTAGGTAGGCTCTGGGAGTGGTGGGAGAGCTAGAATAGAGTTGGGTATTGACTTGATTGTGAAGTGTCTGTGTAGAGTACTAAGGGTTTCAGAGGCAGTTTTCTGAGTTGTGATAGGGAGAGTTAGTTGGATTGTATCGACATTATTGTTCTTGAGGTAGGTGAGAATTTCTTCTATTTCCTCTGGTATAATAGGTTTTTCTATTGAGATTTCTGCAGGTTCAATAGTCTCTGCTAGATTAGCGTGAATTTTTATCTATGAGTCAGGGATATGGTAGAAGTAGTATGTTTCTCTCAAGAGCCTAGCTACTTCTGTTAAGATTTTAGTGGATGTGATAGGAGTCAATATACTGTATTCTGTGATTAGCTATGGATCGTCTAGAAGATTAGATTTGTTAGTAGGGTTAACTGCAATAATTTCTGGAGGTAGAGGCTGGTTGAATTTGTATATTAAGCCGATATTGTTAATGAAGTCTATAGCTTCTTCCTTGTTAATAATTGGATATGAGTATTTTTTCATAGTTTTGATTTTGCATGGGTCTCTGGGTAGGTGTTGTTTGACTTGATAGTAGTTGTTAGGTAGATTTCTGAAGGTATATTCTTCTTGTAGTTCCTCAAGAATTTTTTGTGTATTACCATAAACATCATTTGGATCGATCGGGAAGTGTCTTCTATATTTGGGGCTAAGATCTTGATATGCTAGAGGTAGACAAATCTTTGGTGGAGGCAGCTCAAAGTATTGGGGTGGTATCTTGGTGAATTCATAATATAGGCTTAGTTGCCTTTTGTAGTTTCCTAGATCTTTCAGATATTTCCTGTTTGTAATTGGGAATAGGTCTCTTATAGCTGGGTAAAAGTCAGAAATGTTGGTAGAGAGAGGGTCAAGACTGCGAAGTATTCTTCTGAGAGCTGATCAAACTGGTAGATACAGTGAAGTGTTGTGACAATAGCTCTTGTATGTGCCTTGTTGTTTATAGATAAGGTAAAAGGCAGTATTTGTTGTATATTTTCTGAAATATTGTCTGTGTGGTCTGGTAGTTGTTGTAACTTGTCAGAGAGGGCCTCTTGGACTGCTTCAAGGATTTCCTCATGGTCTTTGAATATTGTATCTTTAGTAAATCCTTTGTAGTATTTTATAAGTTGTGAGATTCGTCTAGGAGGGACTATATTAAAATTTGTGTTTGTTATATAATCTATGAAGATTTTTTGTAAAGTTTCTGATGAATGATATCTCTTGTTTCTCTGTTAGTTATAGTGATCTGATTTGTCTTTTTGTAGTTTTGTAGTGCATTGTGAAACAATTCCTTATATTCTGTTTGGTGCTGAGGTGTGAATCTTTTCACTCTAGTGAACGTGAGAAAGAATGTACGTCTAGATGTTTAAATTTGGCAAGTATAGCAGGAGGGATGTATTTGTCCGTAGGTTTAGTTGCCATTTTGTATTTTATGACTTCTTGGATTCTTGTATTAGATTGGAGGCTGGTAATCAACTTGTTGTAGTGCCATGTGTTAGTGTCGAATGGTTGTGTGATTTCTTTTGTTAGTTCTTTGTGCATGTGTTCTAACCATTTCTAGGTTGGGTCTTCATCTATTTGCATTGTGTTGTCGCTCAGGTTCCGTTTAGTTGCTTGGCTATATGTGAGCATATCCTGTTGCGCTGATATTGTTGAGGCTGTATCAGTTTCCATTTTGTTATTGTGGTGTATATCATGTGCTAATTCGGGGTTAGTAGTTTGTGCATCTTCTAGCTTATCTTGCTCTGTTGCTGCATTATAGATCTGGGATTGAGGTGTGGCTGTATTGTTGTTGTCATTGGTGTGAGGTGGGTTATCTAAAATGGTAATGTTGGGGTTGTTGTTGTGGGAAATTATAATTGTGTTGTTGTTTTTTCCTGTAGTTTCCATTTGTATGTTGTTAAAACCTGTTTGGACTAGTTGGTTGTTGTTGTTATTTTGATGCGATGATGTCATGCTGTTTTTTAGAGGGGTAAGCTGGATGGCCCACTTTTAATATTTGGGTTTGGTTTAGGAAGAAGTGTACATCACCTTTTGGCACTGGTGTCAGTATAGGTAGAGTCAAGCTTGACTGAGACCTTCTTTTTGCCTTTGCTTTTGCTATTGCTGCTGCTGTTGTTATTGCTCATTTGTAGTTGTGGTTGTATTAATAGCGTAAAAGGTGCTATGGGGCCCAAGTGCCTTGTGTTTTCTTTGTTGTCGGTGGTGTGGTTCTTGCTACTCTGTTTTCTCTTTATGTTGGTGCTTAGTAGGGTAGTGTAGTAGTGTGTTGGTGTATTTTGCAATCTTTTCTTTTGTGTAGTTAATTATTTAATTAATAAATTGTTAGGTTTGTTATATCATTTTTGTTTACTATAGAAATCGGGATCTACGGGAAAGAGTTTTTTTTTTAATTATAATAATAATAATAATAATAAAAGAATATACTTTATAGAAAAAAAATACAAAGCTTGATACCTATCAGTATCAATAGTAATAATAGTAAGGGTAACAGTTGTGATATTACGGATGTTTTAGGTACTTAGTAAACGGTGTCGCATTAGCATCATTTCTGTTACAAGATCCCAAATTCCAATTTACTTCAGCAGTAGACATGATTGAATAAGTAGTATAAAAGGTATTATCTTGATGATTGGGTGGAGGATTTACTGGAGTACCATAAAGAATGACGGGAATGTGATTTGTTGTTGCCCATAGTCCCAAACAATGACAAATAATGTGTTTGTGGTAAGGCTAGGATTATTTCGTCTCACTTCAAACCAGCTTTTGAACCAATTCATCGCATAGTTTAAACTAGTATCATGGCCATCATCAAGTTGGTTTGGGACGTAATAAGCAAATTGTGGTACTTGATTATTACTTATGTCAGTATCAAGTTGGGAGGCATCCATTAGTTTAGCGCAACGTGCAGGATTTGAGTTTATATCTGTCATACTAATAAAAGGATTATGCGTTCTCGTATAAAGATCAGTGCCAGAAGGACAAAAGTCGCCAGTATAACAGGCACCGCAGTCTACAGAACGACATAAATGTAAATAAGAATTTAAAGTAAAAATATTAACAAATAATATTAATAAACTTACTATAATTCTCGAGGTAAGCTTTCCAAGTGATACCTTTGTTCTCAAGAAGGTCAACTATGTTGCATCCAGTGAGATTATAATGTCCACTGGTCGTCGTGATACTAGGAGGAGCTGAACCATAAATTGAGGCAATGTAATCGATCTAATGGAAAGAAAAAAATAATTATTTGTCCGTATTTTCAAATATGAAATTCATAAAGTTGAAAAAAAGTAATGTACCTCAGATGTAGAATTAATTGCGAAAAAATTAGTAAGAAGAAGACCTTGAGGACTATTATATAAGCTTTGCAAATAAGGATTTTGTATTGCTTTAGTGTAATCAGCGTCTTCGAACCAGATTACAAAATAACAGTCAAAATAGGTTCCAGACACAATAGCACGTACTAATCTTGTAGAAAAGATAGCCAAAAGATTGAAGAATATGATTAATCTCATTTTTATATTTAAACTTTGGAATAATTGAAAGTATCGCCTTTGAAAAACGAAATTCATTCATTTTTATACATCTGAAGCAAATCAGATAAATAATTCTTGAAGAACCCAATTTTTATTAGGTTGTACACGGAAAATTATTCATATTTTATCAACGAATATTTATGAGTATTTATTTTTTTCGAGCAAATTTTATCAATTTAATTAATTTTAATCGTATAATTTCTAATTTTAATTAATGTATAAAAAATTTTAATTTCTAATTCTTTCACATTGTAATTCTAACAGATAGTTTCACACTTTTGGATCAAATTTCCTAAGTTAGTATGAAGTGCTTAAATTATTATTGCATAATTTTAATTTTGTTTGTAATTATAACTGAGTTTCACACTTAGTATGTCTTATGTTACACTAAATTCATATTTGTGTATTATTTCGAAATTGCTACTTTTTTAAAAATCGTCTATTTGACTCAAAATAACGCACATGTACGTCTCGAAATTTGCTTAATTTTTTGTCTTGGCATACACAAACTTTAATTAGTGGAAATCCTTTGTAAATTTAATTAATTGAAATTATTTAATGATTTTTTGGAATCTAAATCGTACGTGTGTACCAGAAACGTACGTACTGCACGTAAGTAGCTGATCGTAAACAAAGTTTATGACTCGTGTGTAAAATTTTGATTCTGATTTGGCATCGTCATTTTGATTTTTATAGCAAAATAACCTACATTCTTGTTATGTATCAGTGATTTCAGAATCTTTTCTTGTAATCATAATCTAATATTAAAATTCAGTTACAGATTACCAGAGTAACTGCACAATGTAGTCACGCCTAAACTAGGAACATAGTATGATCGCTAGAATCTAAGCGTATTAATGAGTATTCTAATACATATTTGTAAAATAGTGCCCAATTATCCATCTTTTTAGTAAATTAAATTTGCGGTATACGTATGATCAAAATATATGATTTTTGTGTTTAACCCTACTCAATTTTGTTGGTTTGTTTTTGCCTTTTATGGCTTTTATAGTTTGTAGTACATTGATATTTTTGGTCATTCTTGTGTGTATCTATTCGAAAAGAACTGCACGCATGCGATATATAATAATTGGAGGCCTTCCAGCCCAATAGCGCCGGACATTGAAATTTATTAAATTGCTTTAAGGAGATATATAGCATAAATCAGAGCGATCGATGTATTTCAAGTTGACAGTAGGTCAACAGATCGAAAAGACGGCTAAGCAGTGATGCATTAGCAAGCGACGATCACATGGGTGATCCCGGTTCCGGCAAGAGAATCCTGTATATGCAAGGGGAAGATAAGTAGAAATTTAATGAAATTGCCAATTCAGGAGTTTACGGCGCGAATACTAATATATGACAATGACAGATATAAAAGAACGGAGGAACGGCAGGGCATTACGACAGCAGCCCTTCAAGTGGCAAATCAATTTCGCACCCTGCCCTACCCTCCCTCAGTAGAATCCTGCCATTTTGTAGCAGTTTAAACGTCTCTTTACGGCCGGCCTGCGTTATGCAGGTGGGAAACCACCGGCCAAGATCATGTGACTACAAAGCTTCTGGCTAACAGCCGGCCAGCATTTATGCGGGCGGGAAACCACCGGCTAATGCCAATTATACATCAAACGCACTGATGTATGCTATATATCTCTTTCAATTATACATCAAACGCACTGATGTATGCTATATATCTCTCAATTATACATCAAACGCACTGATGCATGCTATATATCTCTTTCAATTATACATCAAACGCACTGATGCTATATATCTCTCAATTATACATCAAACGCACTGATGTATGCTATATATCTCTTCAATTATACATCAAACGCACTGATGAATGCTATATATCTCTTCAATTATACATCAAACGCACTGATATATGCAATATATTTCTTTTATAAAGTTTGAATATCCAGTGCTCTTAGCACTGGAATCCACGTAGAATCCTGTCATTTTGTGGCAGCTTAAATGTCTCTTTATGGCCAGCCTGCGTTATGCAGGTAGGAAACCACCAGCCAAGATTATGTAACTACAAAGCTATTGGCTAACAGCTGGTCAGCATTTATGCAGATAGGAAACCACCGGCTAATGCCAATTATACATCAAACGCACTGATATATGCTATATATCTCTTTCAATTATACATCAAATACACTGATGTATACTATATATCTCTTCAATTATACATCAAACGCACTGATGTATGCTATATATCTCTTTAATAAAGTTTGAATATCCAGTGCTATTAGTGCTGGAATGTGTTCAACAAATATATCACATGTGTGCAGTTCTTTTTGAATTGAAATATGTAGCATGCCTTAATGTGATTGATACATAATTGTAAGAAGTGCATGTATCGTGTATATCAGTGCAATTGATGTACAATTGGCATTAGTCAGTAGTTTTCTACCCACATAAAGCGAGCTGGCTGTTAGCCAGAAACTTTGCAGCAATTTAGTGCTACATAGTCTTAATTGGGTATTTTCTTAGCTGCATAATACAGGCCAGCTATCAATCTGAAAGATTTGCAAGAAATGGCAGACTTATGCTGGTCTTTCTAAATTTGCTTTAAGAAGATATATATATTGTATACATCAGTGCAATCAATGTATAATTGAAATATGTAGTATACATCAGCACAATTGATGCATAATTATAAAAGATACGTATATACATATATCTGTGTAATTGATATATACTTTCTAACAAAAGTTACTGGCCAATAATCATTTTTGATAATGATCAACAAACAAATATAAAATTTTTAACCAATTTTACAAAAAAGATTAATAGTAATTTTTAATTATAAAAATGTAACTAAACTCTTATATTATTAATTAATATATTTAATAATTTGTAGGATAGCTTTTAGTCTTTTTTACAGTATGAATACAGTTAAGCATACTATTGATTAAATTAAAATAAATAGATTCATCTAAATTGTATCAATCATCTTTCAAAAAAGAAAACAACTTAGCTATACTGGTCAGTAATAGAATATGCCTACAAACCTAGTACTTCAATTCATCCAAAAGGTACTTAATAGGATTAAGATCCAAGCTCTATAAAGGCTAAGATGATAGATAATCTGATTTTTCTCTAAAAATTATAAATTACTTGTGTCCAATAAATAGAACATTATTATTTTAAAAATTATATTTTAAATTTGAATTAAGAATATCTAAAAATAGCAACAAATAAAGTTTCAAAGATCTATATAATTTACTGTCTTTTGTTAGTCTGTAATACAGATCAATGGACCCAAATTATCTATAGTAAAAAGATTAGTACAAGACAATTTATATTATATTTCTTATTAGATAAATACAGTCAGACCCTCTAAGTACACCTTCTATAAGTGCATACCCTCTCTAAATGTGTGCTCAGATTCTGGTCCAAATATATACTTGATCTCTATAAATGCACTTTTTCTTATTATTTTCTAAATGCATGTTGTTAAAGTATGATCCCAAGGGCATGCACTTAGAGAGGTCTGACTGTACCAAATATTGCTATGACTATTACTCCTAAATATTTCAAATAAAATTTGTTGCTTCAAACAATAGTGTTCTACTAAAAAGTTCAATTCAAATATTTATTTATCTAATTAAAATAAATTTTCTATTTGCTTCATCATCAATTATTACAGGCTCTTATTTTAGCAAATATCCTATTTGTATTGTAAAAAATGAAGAAGTTTAGAAATTATTCAAAATACTATAATCTACATATATATTATCTTCAAGAAAATAGATTAGTAAGATATTTTAAATAAAATACATGAGGAAGTAGAGGTTAAAATTCAAAATTTTATTGATAATTCAAAATTTTTAACTCTGTCTAGCAGTGTTGTTATTAGCCTGGTTAATTAAATATAGCTAATTAAATATGGCTAATTAAATATAAGACTGAAACAATCTTAAACATATAGACTAAAGGTTAAGGCTAATTAAACTTGAGGCTAAGTGTCATGCAGGTTAATAAATGGGGACGTTCCACTTAACAATCCAGCTCAATCAGTGGCACTGCAACTACAACGACGTTAACGACACACACACACAATCACGAAACAG